ATTGGCTTAAACTTTAAGACTTGGGGGGGACAGTGTGGCTTATTGGTTAATTGGCTTTATAGGAGACCATCTGAATTCTCATCCTAGCTATTCCACTTCTAGCTGTGTGATCTTAGCCAGGTAATTTAATTTGTCTACACCTTAGTTTCCTTATATATTAAAAAAAAAAAAACAAAATTTTTTAACCTTTTAAGGCTGTAATAGTTAAAGGATAGTGAATGTTGAAATTTTTATTATAGTACTTGGCTAAGTTTTTTTATTCATTTTGCAACCTGTCTTGTTGGTATTTTTTTATTGAGTGTTTTTTTTTTAAGGGCAAAGGATTCCAAAAGACTTTATGAAAGAAAATGTAAGATAGAAAATAAATACAGGAGGGGCACCTTGGTGCTTCAGTAGATTGAGTGTCCAACTCTTGATCTTGGCTCAGGTTTTGATCTCAGGGTTGTGGGTTCGAGCCTTATTTTGGCATGGAGCCTACTTTAAATAAACAATGAAAAGAAAAAACACATGAAAAGTTGTTCAGTATCATTAATCATTAGGGAAATGAAGACCACCACATATCTATTAAAATGACTACATGAAAAAGAGTGACCGTTTCAAATTTTGATAAGAATGTGAACGACTAGTAAACCTGGCGATTCACAGACCTGTACCCCTGGGGATAAAAATATATTATATGTTTATTAAAAAAAAAAAAAAAGAATGTGAACTACTAGAACTCTCAGGTACTGTTATTGGGATGGACAGTTATACAACCAATTTGGAAAACAGTTTGCAGGGGTTTTGAGTTTTGTTTATATATTTTTTTACTCAAATATAATCACCATACAATGTTATGTACAATATAATGATTGAACAATTCTCTTCTCATCATGGTATGTGTACTCTTAATCCCCTTCACCTGTTTCACCCATCTCTCCCCTAACTCCCTCTGGCCGCCAGCAGATTGTTTTCTGTATTTTTTTTTGTTGTTGTTCTTTGTTCATTTGGTTTGCTTCTTAAATTCTGCTTATGAGTGAAATAATGTATTTGTCTTTCTCTGACTGACTTCGCTTATTATACTCTCTAGCTTCATCCATGTCATTGCAAATAGCAAAATTTCATTCTTTTTTATGGCCAAATAACATTGTATATGTGTGTGTATCTCATATCTTCTTTATCTGTTCATTGATTGATGGGCACTTGGGCTGTTTTCATAATTTAGCTTTTGGAAAGTAATGCTACAGTAAACATAAGGGTGCCTGGATCCCTTTGAATTAGTGTTTTGTGTTTTGGGGGGTAAATATCCAGTAGTCCACTACTTGATTGTAGGATACTGCCTGGATTGTATGATACTGTATGATACTCTTGGGTTGTAAGATACTGCCAATTTCAGGTTTTGAGGATCCTCCATACTGTTTTCTGCAGTGGCTGCACCAGTTTGCATTCCCAACAACAGTACACGTGGGTCCCCTTTTTCCACATCCTCACCAACACTTTGTTATTTCTTGTGGTTTCAATTTTAGCCATTCTGACAAGTGTAAAGTGATATCTCATTGTGGTTTTAATTTTCATTTCCCTCATGATTAGTGATGTTGAGCATCTTCTTATGTGTCTCTTGGCCATCTGGATGTTTTTGGGAAAATGTTCATTCAGTTCCCCCTGCCCGTTTTTTAATTGGATTATTTGTTCTTTTTTGGTGTTGAGTTGTAGATGATTTTTTAAATGTATTTTGGATATTAACACCTTACTGGATATGTCATTTTATCTTCTCCTGCTTAGTAGGTTGCCTTTTTGTTTTGTTGATAATTTCCTTTACTGTGCAAAACCTTTTTATTTTGGTGTAGGTCCCAGTAGTTTAATTTTGGTTTTGCTTCCCATGCCAGAGGCGACACATCTAGTAAAATGTTTCTATGGCTGATGTCAAAGAAATTACTACCTATGTTTTCTTTCTAGAGTTTTATGGTTTCAGATCTCATATTTAGGTCTTTAACCCAATTTGAATTTATTTTTGTATATGGTGTAAGAAAGTGGTCCGGTTTCATTCTTTGGGTATTTTTAAAATACATATCTGTACCAAAACTGAAATGATCATCAGAAGTTCACTTAAACAGAGATTGAATAAATTGGTTTGGTCAAAAATTGAAGTAAAGATTTCTGGACATAAAAGATTACCCAGTGCATTTTAAGAAGGAATAATATTTATTCCTTATGTTGTTCCTTATATAGTGAACTTACGTTCTAGTTGGGAGAGGATAACAAAGTTTCGTATAGCATATTGGTATGTGATAAGTAGTATGGAGAAAAATAGAAGAGGAATAGAGAGTACCCAGCAGGAGAGTTGCTGGTTGGGTAGGAAGGGAAAGACCTTACCATGGAGGTGACATTTGAAAGATGAGAGTGAGCACTGCAGATAGTGAGGGAAGAGCATTACAGCCTGAGGAATTAGCAGTAGCAAAAATAAGGATAGCTAACACATACACTGTTATGTGCCAGGAGCTACTTAACTCCTTTACATATATTAACTTACGTAATCTTTATAGTATCCTGTGAAATAGATATTTTTACTATCCTTATTTTATAGATAACAAAAGGCATTGAGAGAGCTGGTAAGTAATATGGCTGAAAATTGAACCCAAGCAATTTGGCTCTGGAGTCCATCCTTGGGAGTTGCTGCATAGTGTATTAGTGAAGACTTTGAAGAGAGAGAATTTCCAGAATGTTAGAGGAATAGCAAAGTTAGTGTAGTTACTGCAGAGTGAATTAAGAGAATGATAGAGCTGAGGTCTGAAAGGTGGTTATTGGAGAAGGAATAACATAGGAAGATTTGAGTGGACTTAAAGCATTTTTATGACTGGGCTTTTACTCCAAAGTGGAGCACCATTGATGGTTTTGAACAGGCAGGTGACATGATCTGACTGACTTCTTAAAAAGTGGTTCTTTACTAAGTCCTTCCTCAGAGGCTATGGGTAGAATTCAGGAGGACCTGGAGACTTAGAAAAAATTACTTCTTTATTTTCACTAACTTTTAACAGTTCTTCTAACTTTCCTTCATTTAATAATATAGCCAGTAAACAGTAGTTATTAAAGTTACCTGTGACTTTTTGTCACCACCAGTTAGAACATTATTGTTGCAGGATCTCTTAAATCATTTAAGGTCAACATTACTTTGAAATTACAGTACTTACTAGACTCACTGTTAGATCCCACTTAATGTGATAATGAAGCACATATATTATAGTTTGTCTTTTCATATTTATATATTTTTTACAATTATATATCAATATAATTGTTTTTCTTTGTAATCTTATCTATTTCTTATCTCTATTTAAAAAGTATTTGTGGGCGCCTGGGTGGTTCAGTTGGTTTAAGCTATTGACTCTTGATTTTCAGATATGTTGTGGGATCAGGTCCCGTGTTGGGCCCTGCACTCAGCATGGAATCCACTGGAGATTCTTCTCTCCCTCTGCCTCTTCCTCTGTTTGTGCTCTCTCAATAAATAAATCTTTAAAAAAAATAAATAATAAATAACACTATATGGAAGGTGTTCATTGATTTCACCAGATTGTCAAAGGAGACTGTGGGACTCAAAAATTAAGATTACCTGTGAGGATTGCTTTGGTTATTGTGATAACAACGAATACAGAGGAGGGCAAGAACAGGAAGAGGGGTACAAGTTCAGAGACTTTTTTGCAATAATCTGGGTGAGCGTTAATGGTGAGTTGGACCAGAGTAGTACTGGCAGAGAAGGTATATGTAATTGGATTTCAAATAAGTTTTGAAGGTTGAACCAGTGGGAGGATTTGGTACAATCAAATGTATAACATGAGAGAAAAAGAAGAATCAAGGATGGCTATAAATTTTTTGGTCTGTGCATCTGGAAGGATAGAGCTGCCATTTGCTTAAAAATCCCTTTGAAATTATCAATAGATTTATAATGCTGAATATGTCATAAATTTTTTTAAAAGATTCATTTAAGAGAGCCCATGAGTGGGGGGAGAGGAAGAGAATCTCAAGCAGACTCCCCACTGAGTACAGAGCCTGTCACAGGGCTTGATTTCATGACCCTGAGATCAAGAGTTGGACACTTAACTGACTGAGCCACCCAAGTGCCCCGTCATAAATTTTTTAAACAGTAACATAAGCCTTATAAAAATAAAGATACAAAGGATAAAAGAACTCTCAGTCTCACCTCCCATATGAATCATGTGAGATGAGATAGAGTTATGTATGTTTGTTAAAAATTAAAAGTTCGGTTTTGGATATAAGTTTGAAGTCTTTAATCAGATATATGAGTATTACTTTGTGACTTGCTATTTCTACTCCCTGGCATATGCAGTCACTAGAAAGAATGAGGAGAACTTATACTTAGAGCTTAAACTTGTATTGTTTCTGAAGGTTTGAATGTTTTACAGTAAGCATGAATCCGTGTACTAGGGAGGTTTAAAATGAGCAAAACGCATGTTAAGAAGTAAGAGAATGGTTACAGTATGTGGTAGAAAAATTTTGTGGTCATTAGAAATAATGAAAAAGATTTACTGTATTATACCACCATGGAAGGGCTCTAAAAATCTATAAATTAAGTAAACAAAAATAAGGTAAAGACAGAATAAGTAGATAAGTGTGTCAGAATCACAGTAAATCTAACAGTGTTTACTGTTAGAGAAAGAGACTGGATGGATAGGAAGACACCTTCCCTCCTTTTAAGCTGCTGAATTTATTAGCCTTGTTACATGTATTACTTCTTTAAGTGCCATGATTCATATGCGAGGTGAGCTTAGGGGTTGGTTCTTTCATTCTTTGTATCTTTGTATTCTTACACATTATAGTTTTAAAATTGTATATCTAATATAGAAAGTCATGTCTATAATATGATCTTTATTATGAGTAAAATATGACTTTATTTACATATGACTAGAAGAAAGGCTTATGGGATATACATTGAAATGTTAATAGTGGTTTTCCTGGGTGATGGAAATTGAGATCGTTTTTTAAAAATATTTTTCTTTAATTTCTTGTAGACTATGAGAAGACAACGAAATGAAGTTGTAGTTGAATTAAGGAAGGTGAGTCTGAGTAATATTGAGTACTTCCAAGCATAATTCTAACAATATTACAGCATATATAGAAGATACTAAATGTATATTAATCCCAAGTGTTTGCCATTTCTTTTTATTTTGAAAACTGAAGGATTTTAACTAAACTTAACCAGGCTATTGAAGTTGGCAAAATACAACTTGGCCACTCTCCCAAGAATAGAGATAAATGAGTTATATGGTGTTTTTCTTCTGTAATCTTTAATAATTTATAGAAAGTGAAAGTCTTGCCTATACAGTTATACTAAATAGTTCAGCTGCTTACAGGTGTGGTTATACACAAGTTCTGAAAAGAACTTGTTCCATTTACAAATTTCATCAGCTTTTCAAGTATTAAAATAGGTTATATTTCATGTGTGTAAAAAAAAGAAAGTTATACTTGGGAGTATATCTTTAAATTTGTCCCGCACATTTTTTAGTGAAATTTGAGTGGGCCTTGATTTTTGTAAGGCATTGTTGATTTTAGTCTGATTTTGAACTGCCCAACTTTTGCTTTGACTTTGTTTTTAGGTGATAAAGAGAAGCTCCCAGATGATGTATAAAATGGTTTAGTACTTTTAAATAAATACATATATGTTTGGTTCTGGCTTAAACTACACACTGTCTTTTTTAATCAATTTTTTGTTTTTTTAATTTCTTTTTACATAGTTCACGGTTCATTAAAAATGTAGTATTTGGGGCTTGGAATTCAGATTTTTTGTTGCTTAAATATTTGAGTCACAGTTTGGTTTAATTTTCTGCATTTGCATTTTACTTTTAAAAGGCACTTCCCATTTCAGTTTGTAGGCACAGGATTGCCTAACCTCTTTGTATGAAAGTATTTAGCTTTTTTAACTAAAGTTATTTTTTTGATATATATCTTTTTTTTTTTTTAAGAATAAAAGAGATGAGCATCTCTTAAAGAGAAGAAATGTACCACATGAAGATATCTGTGAAGATTCTGATATAGATGGCGATTATAGAGTGGTAAGTTATTGTTATTCTGGTAGCTTAAAAACTGTCAGTGAAAAATTTTACATAAATATAGAATTTTAAGGTGACTTTTTAACTTAGTTTTTTCTTTAATTTTTTTCACAGCAAAATACCTCTCTAGAAGCTATTGTTCAAGTAAGTTGAGTTTTTCCCCCGTCTTCATTTGTATTTCTAATTATTATGTATCTATATCAAAAATTGTTTTAATTTTTTATAGAATGCTTCAAGTGATAACCAAGGAATTCAATTAAGTGCAGTTCAAGCTGCTAGGTAAGTTAAGTTTTGGGGACATATTTGAATTTTATAACTTACTCAGGAGTTCTGTTTGAGTTTTCACTGTACAGTAGTACTGTCACTCATATTTAATTTTGATGACAAGCAGTAAAGAATAGTCCATAGACAAACTACATTTACTTCAAAAATTTTTTCTGTGATCTAGAGTATTAAAATTGGTAGCAGTTTTCTAAACTCACAAATAAATAAACTTCAGTTTCAGCTTGCATAATACACACAGATGCTAGGGAAGAGTTGTGTTGACAGGTTATTGCTGTCAACTAATAGAAAAACATTATTTATAAAACTTTACTTTTTATTAACAGGTTTAATTTTATAAAAAAATGTTTCATCTCCTTCCCAGGTAGCTAATTCTTTTCACAATCCCTATTTTAATCAAATGATAAATTGAGTTACAAGCTTACTGCAGCAGTGTACAGGCAAGTAGACATTAAGATTTAGGGCTCTAAAGTTTGCCAGTGTACTGCCAGGTAGGAATATTAACTTATGTTGCATATTTCTGCTGTGAGATCTATGTTCTAGAGGTGTATGCTCCTATATTTTAAGGGGAGGACCAGAGAAACTTCTGAGACTTTTGTATTAATGAGTAGGTCGGAGAAGGCATGGTTGTCTCATAGTATAATACAGTCTTTCCTTTCTCTATTTATAAATATAAGAATAATGCTCTGTGTTATTATTAGTAGGACAGAGACACTTAAGTAATGGATCCTACTCATAGAATTTCATAGTGGGAGAATATTTCACTGGTCCATCCAGTATCTTAGCCAGTATACAAATCTTTTATTAAAAAAATTTATTAGAGTTTCCCTACTTTTGTGTATTCATTTTAAATAACCTAGAACAGATGGGAAAAATACAGAATTAACAGTATTGCCAACTATATGTAAAAGAACTTCTTAGGACTTGGTTATATTGGAAGAAAATCATAGAAGTACTCACATCTCAAAATGGCAAATTAATGTTTACAGATAGGATGATTAAGAAATTTTGATACATTATTCTCACCATTTCCAGAGTTGATTATTTGAATTTTGGACCAGCTTTTCTCAGTAGGCATTTTAATGAAAGCCGTAAGGCCCCTAAGGCCAATATTCTCGAATTATGGTCTTTGGATCCCCAGGAGAACCTGAGACAACTTTATAAGTACACAAGATCAAACTCATTTTCACGATAATACTAAGACTTTGTTTGCCCTTTTTTAACGTGTTATGAATTTACATTGATGTTGGAAAAGTAACTGTGACTAGAATTGCTGGTACCTTAGTGCAAATCAATTAGACAGTGTCATCAAACTGGTTTTATATTATATTTTGTAGATATTGTAGGCACCATTGTGCACTCAAAAGAAAGGCCATTTCTAAATCTTGAAGAATGTCCTCAGTGAAGTAGTAGAAGAAATTTATTTTATTAAATCTGGAACCTAGTTTAAGAAAGACTGCGTTATTTCCTACTTTGTGCTAAGAATTGTGCCATGTGCTGTGGAAAATACTGTGAAAAAGCATGTGTAATTCTTGCTCTATGAGAACTTTAGAACCTAATAGGGAAGGCAAGGGTATGTTAAAATTAGGGTGATACTCAACAACAAATGTAAGCATATGCTGTGTAAATGTTCTTTAATTCAGAGAGGATATTGTGAAAACATACAAATTTAAATGGACTTTCAATAGATAGAGCTTGAATAGACAGAAAAGAGGGCATTCCAAGTGTGGGAAATAGGATGTGAAGAGCCTGGAAATGAGATTGAAATAGTGAGACAACTGATTTATTGTTGCATTACAGAGAATAAGATTCATTAGTTAGGTAAGACGGAGCCAACTTGTGGAGGGTTTAAGCTAGGGCAAGAAGGTTACATTTATTGGGTAGTAAATATGCAGCCATATTCTGCTGCTTGGTTTATATAGGAGAATGATCTGATTAAGCTTTCATAAACATTGCTCTGTAGGATACTCAGATGGGTGAGGATTTGTGTAATCTTTATGTCAAGTATGAATTTGAATTTAATTATATATCATTAAATTTCACAAGAGTGTGTACGTCTCTTATAGGAAGCTTTTGTCCAGTGATCGAAATCCACCAATTGATGACTTAATAAAATCTGGAATATTGCCTATTTTAGTCCATTGTCTTGAAAGAGATGACAAGTAAGTACATTAAGAAGTATTTTAGAATGTATCCTTTGCACAAGACAAGATTTTCTGGTAGTTCAATTTTTAAAGAAAAAAGAAAAGGGCTATATGATGGAGTTGAAAAGCCAGTGAAAAACAGTGCAAGGTGTGTTTACACCAGGAGGTGAACATAAAGGCCGAAGAGGAACTTGAGAATGATACATTGAACTTTTAAGCTTTGAAAATCCGCAAACACTAGTTTGGCTGTTAAGTGCTTGAGGAAACTGTTTGGGTAGTCATATGCAGCTATCTAAATAAAGAGTTTTTGGATGCCTGGATGGCTCAGTCAGTAAAGCATCTGCCTTCGGTTCAGGTCATGATCCCTTGATCCTGGGGTGGAGCTCGCTGCTGAGCAGGGAGCCTGCTTCTCCCTCTCCTTTTCCCCCTCCCCTTGGCCCCGTTCAGTTTGTGTTCTTGTGTGCTAGTTCTCTCTCTCAAATGAAGAAATAAAATTTTATAAAAAGAAAAAGTTTTTACTAAAAATAGATGGGACACCTGAGGAAATTGTATGCTTTTTATACTGAAGAGATACTGTAAATAGTCACTGGAGGTTTTAAAAAAGTGCTGGGTGCATAGATCGATAACTTTCAAACAAAATATTTAATACTTTAAAAAATGCTTGAAGGGAGGAATGGTTGGTAGATATTAGATTAGGGCCGATGTAAAAATCCCTACTGTTCAACATTATTTGTTCTTTTTAGTCCTTCTTTACAGTTTGAAGCTGCATGGGCTCTGACAAACATTGCATCTGGAACCTCGGAACAGACTCAAGCAGTAGTTCAGTCCAGTAAGTTGGTGATTAACAGATAAAATTGTGATTTCTAAAAAAGAAGTTAGTAAAAAAAATAGTGATTCTCTTAAAAGAATAAAGCTATTTTTATTAAAAAATAATAGCTATCCAATTACAGGTTGGTTGAAATAGGCCAACTAAAGTATGTTACTTTGATCATATCATTCCAGTGACTGACATTTTCTCTTTTCAAAAATTCATTTGTTACTAAATCTGAGAACATTTTCTAATTATAGTAGCAGATTACATTATTGTAGTTACATTTTACTTATAGGATATCATAGAAATAAAGGTGTTTTTCCCATTGTCATACTACCTCTTGGCGTCTCTTAATGAGAGTTTCATCATATGGGTCAGAGAAATTTTGTATAAAGTAGTCCTGTTGAAAAATGGCTTGAAATTTTTTCATTGTTACTATTACAGGATTGCTTTTTTTATGTTCCAAGAGATATAAGTGGGAAATTATTATTGGAGGTAATAAACTGAATGTATTGTTTTCATAAATACTGTTTAATTCTTCTATCAAAGAAATTAATAATTTAAAGAAGGTACTTTTAAAGTGCTCTTCACAGAGTTGTAAACAGTATACTTGTGTAAGCTTATTAAAATCTTAAGCACTAATTTCTACATGATTTTAAAGAGGAGCAAAGGTATTATCCAGGTAAACATTTAATTATGTAGACATTTCTGCTGTAATATTATATAGAATATTAATATTATCTTAAATCATGATAAAACTGGCTTAATTTAGGGTTTAAATAGACTTTGGTTTTGGTTTTTTTGGTTTTATTTTGTATAATTGACTCTTTAGTAAATTTTATAATCTCAAGACAATATTTTAAGCTCTCACTCTTTTTCCTTTCTGTTTTATGTGCTTTTTTCAGGATTAGAAGGAGCCTTAGAATTTAACGCTGCCAATCTCTTATTTTACCAGATATAATAAATGAATGAATGATTTTTTGAGTAAAGCATGACCTACATGTATGGAAATAGCATTTTTCTAAGTACTATCAGAAGAAAGTAAAAATAGAATAATCATTTGTTCAGTGTAGTAGTATTCTGTTCAGGTACAGACCTTTCTCTGTGTTTCCCATCCTTGTTATAAAGAAAGGGTGTTGTAAAGCAACAGAACCACTTTCTGATTCAAGAGGTCTTATATGGTATACAGGTATCACTGGCCTGCCTAAAGATCTGTGTGATGTTATTTTTTTAATTGAGGTGTAATTGACATATATAACATTAAATTAGTTCTAGGCATATGACATAATGATTCAAAGTATATACACCAAGACATGATCACAGTAAATCTCGTTTCCCCTATCCTCATATCAAATTATATGATACGCAGTACAGTATTACTGACTACAGTTACCATGCTATACACTTAATTCCCATGACTGACTTGTTTATGATTGGATGTTTGTATGTCTGGACTCCCTTGTACTTCACTCATCTCCCAAAAGCCCTACCTTCTGCCAGCCATCACTGTTCTCTGCATCTACGAGTTTTTGTTTTGTTTGTTCATTTGTTCTGTTTTTTAGATTCCATATATAAGTGAAATCATACATTATTTGTCTTTCTTTTTTCTGACTTATTTCACTTAGTATCTCAAGGTCCATTGATGTCCTGTATACAAGAATTTCATTCTTTTGGCAGTAGCTAAGTAGTATTCCATTGTGTGTGTGTCCGTGTACATACACACATCTTATCCATCCATCCATCATTGGACACTTTGGTTGTTTCCATATATTGGCTATTGTGAATAATGTAGTAATAAACATAGGGGTGCATATATATTTTCAGAGGTTCTGAGTGGTTTCACCATAAGCATATTTGCTGAAAACATTTTCCCCACTTAACTAATTGGCCATAAGGCTATTTCACCATTAAAGATACAAGAATAACTGGTTGACAGTTTGATTTGATGGTTTGTTGATTTCGTCAGCTAGTTGACAGTTTACTTTCATTTCTGTATTAACACAGTACTCCCATTTTTATAGTAAGTAAAGCTTAGCCTTCGTAATAGTCTGTATAGTGCCATAGAGTTTTGAACCCACATTTCTCATAGAACTTTGGAACATCTGTCAATAAACATGTGGTAATATGCTAAGAACAAAGAACAGTGTAGAAGACTTTCACAGTGTAATGCAAAGCTGTTACAAATATGCATCCTTGTATTTAGAAACTGATACCTCTCTTAAGGAAGAAAGAAATTTTAGGAAAAAATGAAAACGTGATGCCAGATGAAGAGAAGAATCAACAAGAAAAATAAATGTATAATATTATGAAAGGAAAACTTTGAGGACAAGTGCTTAGGTACAGTCTGCAAAATAAAATCAATTATTTGCATAGAATTGCATGAATCTACACACATTTTAAATGTATTCAAATGTTTTATATTTTGCAATAAAGTCTTGTTAATTTTGTCAGTGCATTTTTCATGTTTCATTATGTCCTTTTTAATGGATATCCCTCTTTTATTTTTGTGATTTTATCTTTTATGGCATTATTGCCATATGGCCAATTAGTTATAGGGTGAAGATGTTTGTGGCAAAGATGCTTATGGTGAAAATACTGGGCACTGTTCTTAAATTTATTGTCATTTGCTTCAGATAAATACCCAGAAGTGGAATTGCTAGATCCTGTATTTCTAGTTTCTGTACTAGTTTCTTCTATTTTTTAGTTTTTTTATTAGCCTCCATACTGTTTTCCATAGAGGCTGCTCCAATTTCTATGCCTACAGGCAGTGCACGAGGGTTCCCTTTTTTCCACATCCTGTCTAACACTTGTTATTTCTTGTCTTTTTTATTCTAGCCATTCTGACGGTGTGAGGTGGTATCTCATGGTTTTGATTTGCATTTCCCTAATAATCAGTGATGTTGAGCATCTTTTCATTTGTCTGTTGGTCATCTGTATGCCAGTGCTTTCAGTACTTTGAATATATCTTACCACTCCTTTCTGGCCTGCAAACTTTATTCTAAAAAATCTCTGATAGTCTAATGGGACTTCTCTTGTATGCAACAAGTTGTTCTCTTGCCACTTTTAAGATACTCTCTCTATCTTTAGATAAACTCTTGCCATTTTAATTATAATGTGTGTTGGTATGGCTCTTTTTGGGTTCATTTTATTTGTAATTTTCCTGGCTTCCCAGATCTGGATATCTCTTTCATTCCCCAAGTAAAGAAAGTTTTTAGCCATTGTTTCTTCACAAATTTTCTGTATCTTTCTTTCTCTCTTCTCCTTTTTGGACCCCATTATGGTAACGTTGTTCCACTTGCTATTGTCCTACAGGTCCCTTAAGATATCTTCACTTTTTTAAATTCTTTTTTGTGGGGTGCCTGGGTGGGTCAGTCATTAAGCATCTGCCTTCAGCTGAGGTCATGATCCCAGGGTCCTGGGATCGAGCTCCGCGTCTGGCTTCCTGCTTTGTGGGAAGCCTGCTTCTCCCTCTCCCACACCCCTGCTTGTGTTCCCTCTCTCGGTATCTTTCTCTCTGTCAAATAAATAAGTAAATTTTTTTTTTAAAGATTTATGTATTTATTTATTTATTTATTTGACAGAGAGAGAGAGAGATCACAAGTAGGCAGAGATGCAGGCAGAGAGAGAGGAGGAAGCAGGCTCCCCACTGAGCAGAGAGCCCGATTTGGGGCTCAATCCCAGGACCCTGAGATCATTACCTGAGCCGAAGGCAGAGGCGTAACCCACTGAGCCACCCAGGCACCCCAATAAATAAAATCTTTTAAACAAAATAAAAAATTCTTTTTTGTTTTGCCGCTCTGTTTAGGTGAGTTCCACTGCCTTGTCTTCCAGGTCACTGATCCTTCCTTCTCTTTATCCTTATCTGTTGTTGAATGCCTCTACTCTATCTTTCGGTTCAGTTATTGTGTTCTTCAGCTCTGTGACTTTTGTTTGGTACATTGTTATATTTTCTGTCTGCTGATATTTTTTCTGTGTTCATCCATTTTCTCCCAAGATTCGGGAGCATCTTCATGACCATTGTTTTGAACTCTATCAGGTAAACTTTCTCCATTTCAGTAAAGTGTTTTTCTGGGGTTTTATTTCATTCTGTTCTTCAGTTTACTTATGTAACTTGACTTTCTGTGTTTGTTTTTATGTATTAGGTGAAACAGCTATCTCTCCCAGTCTTGAAGGAATGGTCACTGGAAGCATGTGTTTCAGTCAGCTATCTGTGCTATCCTTTGGGGGTGGTAGCCTGCCAGAGATTGTTTCACTCCTGTGGAGCCCAGAAATGCAGAATACCCTCCGACTCCCAGCTACCAGTGCCAAGCATTCAAGGGGTGTCCCTTATGTGGACTTTTGTACTTCTGCCAGCTTTGGCAGGGCCACAGGGGCATGCCAGGCCAGGATGAACTATTCCACTGGGTTTGGTGGGGAGGAACTGTAGCAGTGCTCTGTGCCAGAGGTGCAGGGGTGGTGCAAGTATCACTAGCAAGGTAGAATGTGTAAAAAATGGCACCTGTCAGCACCTCCATCCCTGGAGGAAGTTCCAGCAGACCCTCATTCCTTAGGCAGAGTTTCTTTAAACTTAGCCAGGGACCTCCTTTACATATGCTCTAGGCGCTTTTCAGCCCACTGCTTTTGTGCTGGAGCCTGGAGCATGTGGGCAGGTGGTCTCTTAAGAGCATAGTCCTGGTTTTCTGCAGCCCTTTGGGGCTCTTGGATGATAGCCCTGTTGGTTTTCAAAGCCAGCCGTTTTGGGAGTTTGTCTCTGGTGTAGGTCCCCAGGGTTCAGGTGCCTATTTTGGTGCTCTAACCTCTCACTCTTTAGGGATATGCTCTGTATTTATGAAATCTCTCCGCTTGTGGGTTGCTGCTAGGTTGTAGGGCATAGCTTTGTTAGGACCTTAGTCTCTGCCTCTACTGTCCATCTCAGTGTGACTTTTTTATCCTTTGTTGTGGAGGAGCTCTTGGGCTGCTTCTATGAAGGCATTATTGTATATGTAGCTATAGATTTGGTGTCCATGGTAGAAGGTGAGGTCAGCCACCGTCTTGAACTGCACCCTCTGTTATTTTAAATTTCTGTATTCAAAAGGTACTTCAACAGTTGGAGTCCCTTTTTTTCTCTGAGTTTGAGAATAATGCTTGAATCTGTAAGGAATGAATTAATCTACTTTATTTTTAGGAATTGATTTTTAATTTGGAACTTCATTCAGGTTTAATTATGAATGAAAATTTACCAGCTTGATTTGTTTGATATTTGTATCTTAAAACTGTCATTTTGATGCTGGGTAAGTGGTTTGCTAATCAAAGTTTTCCACTACTGTTATTCTAGAGAAAATCATTTAATAGATATATATGTTAAATATATTTTTTGATAGGTTCTTTTCTTCTTAGATTCAGCAAAGAAAAGATTGACTTTTGGTTAGAGTATAGTATCTCCAATCCTTTTTTCCCCCCAATATTATGAGATGTAATTGGCCTCTGTCTTTAACCTTAAATGTTAATTTATGTTTTCCTCCTTCAGATGCCGTGCCACTTTTCCTGAGGCTTCTACATTCACCCCATCAAAATGTCTGTGAGCAAGCAGTGTGGGCACTGGGAAATATCATAGGTTTGTATAAAACTTGTAATACTAGTCCAACAATTGTTATCAGATACTGTATAATAAAAATGACTGCTAGTAGTTGAAAAAGAAAAACAGTGTGTCTTTTTAGTACTGGTTTTTGTGCAATAATTTTATAGAAATTATAGCTGTTTTAAGTATAAACCTGTAATAAACAGAATGAACATTTTTGTTGATTATGATACCATAGTATCTTTTTGTATATAGTCAACTCTTTTTTAAGTATGTAGTCAACTCTTAATTATTTCAGTAATTATGAAATATGTATGTGATAAAAGATCTCCTCTCCCTCCTTTATTATGTTGATGGATCTATTTTATTCCTTAACTTTCTCCACTGTCATAGAAACTAGTAAAAAGGAATATGCACAACATAACACCAACACCTTTTCTCCATAATGACAGTTTTAAAAAGAGTCTTAATTGAAATTTTTACTGTCTTTCCTGAATTTTTGTATAGTAAAATACAGTAATGTTATCCATTATCATCATGAGGAGGTATTTGTAGCTTTATAGACAGGGTCATTAAATGTTAAATACCATGATTACCATACCTCTCAGGTTTTCTCTGACATAATTGTAAGAAGAATTATTAAAGACAATTCTGATATTTCAAGATATGTTTTTAAACTATAAACAGACTTTACCCAAACTCAAAAATTTGAACAACTATCCTTCAGTGAGTAGAGAATGGAAAAAATCTGGGGTCTGAACTGTATTATGTCTCTTGATGTTAAAGTTTATTGTTCTTGCATGGAAGTAGTCAATATTACTTTCATGTACCTCTTCTATATTACTCTTTGGGGGCAAAGATAGAATGCAGGGGATGGTTAGCATTCCATAATTAAAATGGGAGAATTTCTCTATAAACTGTTCTTCACATATGGTATATTGCTGTTAGGAATGCTATCATTTGTGTATCCAGATTCCTTCACCCCTTTGCTTTCATACCAACTTTAGATTTATAACTATTAATGCAACATCTTGATCTTTGGTTTTTAATTCCAGTGACATTGTAAAATAATTAGAATACATGGATACCGAAAGAATAGGCATTTTTATCTCGAAATACTACAGTGCAAGGAAAAGGGTTTTCATTTATAGAATGTAATACTTAATATGGTTTTAATGCTAGAAATTACAGTGATGTTATAGATACAGAAATTACATTTGACAGTTCACTAAGGCAGCGATTCTCAAACTTTAGCCTATTTTCAGAATCATACGAAGGGGCTTATTAAAACCCCAATTCTGGATCCACAGAGCTTGTTTAACAGATTTGGATAGGGCCAAAAATTACTGTGGGAAACCACGGCTTTAGTGATACTGATTCATCCCCTCCTTCTTTTGACATATTTTTTTATTTCTGAATTTTATTTTGGGCGTAGTTTTTTTAATGTGTAGAGTAATTTATAGTTAATACTTTTGGTACTCTGATATTGGATCATAAGTATAAATTCTACAACTTTTTTCTAGTAATATTTTGATATATATGCATACATTTTTTTTAATTACATAAAAGTTTGTTAAACTGAGAGTACCATTGAGAGAAAATAAAAGCAACAGTCCTCTGCTCACAAAGTACTCTAAAGGATACTTAGGCTTCTAACTTTTAATGGCACAAAAACATATGTGAACAATTTATAAACCTATTGAATAAGTGAATAATGTGCAAAAAAATCTTACTACTTTATGTTGCTTTTCTTGTCTCAAGAGACCTAAAATGAGAACTTGGTTATTGTTGTCTAAAACTTCTATATAAAACTAGTGTGTCTGGTTAAAATACAGAAAGCAACATATTCAACCCAGTGCTTTATGTTTTCTTAATTCCTTACTGTCAGTGTATTTTCACTCCTTCCTACAGGTGATGGACCACAGTGTAGAGATTATGTCATAAGTCTTGGAGTTGTGAAACCTTTACTTTCCTTCATAAGTCCATCTATTCCTATAACATTCTTAAGAAATGTTACTTGGGTAATGGTCAACTTATGTCGCCATAAAGATCCACCACCCCCAATGGAAACCATTCAGGAGGTAAACAGATATTTTGTGTTTTGTCTTTTTGTTTTTTAACTAAATTGGATACCGTTATGTATGTTTTTAAATCTATATATTTCTCTCTTCAGATTCTTCCAGCTCTTTGTGTCTTAATTCATCACACGGACGTAAATGTGAGTATTTTTTATGTGTGTTATATGTATGTCTAGGGTTGCCCCTATGACATAGGGAAGAAAATGTTATACTGGCCATAATGTTCATGTACTCGATTAGATTTTTCCATTTCAAGAGTTGTAATAACATAGCTTACTATTATTGTATTTACTTTGTCTTTACCTGTATCACAAATACAGTTTACAGTGAAGAAATCAAGCCCAACTATATTTTGGTCTGGGCAATAATGTATATGGAGAGTTGGGGCAGTTAAAAACTCATTTTGGAAGTTCTTAAAGTTGCCAGTTAATGATCCATCTCACTAAAATTATATCTTTGATTGGTCAAGAGCTTTTTATGGAAGCTCATTTTGATGGCCTGACCAGTGTTTGAGAGAATATATAGGCCTAATAATATTTCATATTTGAAAGATTAAAAAAATACTTGTGCCTTATGCATGGGTTTGTGTTCATATGCATACACCAATCCAAGAATATCAGTTGGTCTTGAATTTATTTTTACTATATTTTTCCATCTATAGTGACTGTGATAGTGGTTTCACATGTTGTAGAGAGAACTCATAAATATCCAAACAAGAAAAAAATTTGTGCAGACTAGATTTTAAGCATAATAAATATACCTTATTCATTCTAACCAACACAGATGGCAAAGGAAAAAGCACCTCATAAAGTATGAATGAAGTGGGAATCTGACTGCTTATAAAACCAGCTTTGCTGTCATTGTGTTAGAAAAGCTAGGAATATGACAGGTAAAAGAAATCACAGGAATACAGTGCATAGCAACATTCAGGAACTTTGGTTCCTTAAAAGCAGCTTGGGGTGATGACCCGTGTTTGATAGGTTGCTTCATTCCTTTTCAGTTTCTGGGGTAATACATTTTTCCAGGATCTCTCTAACACATATGGAACAAATTAAAGTTAGAATTCCACTACATTATGCAGTGATAAAATGTATAAAATTCATTAGGTGAACATGATCATTGCTCTAAAGATACTTGGTTTTAGATCCCGTTAGTCTAGAATCCTTAAAATATATATATATATATATATATATATATATATATATATATATATATATATATATATATATATATATATATATATATATATATAAAGCTATTTGGGGGGTTTGCTCCTTAGTGCCAAGTATTTTTATTAAACCAGAAATTTTAATATTTTACTTTTAAATGAGTTCCAAAGAAGATTAATCTCAAAGTTTATACCTCTACCAAAAACTAGACATCTTGGTTGACCTTATTCAGAGATTGTATTGTGTTCTTTCCACCTGTTTACCCCAATCCAGTTGAGATTATAACTGTTTTCTTGGCTTTTAATATATTTTGAATTTTTCAAGCCGGTCTCATTGTTCTTCTGTAGTAATTTATGTACTGAGTAGTTTACTATATAATAATGTTTACTGAAAATGCAGTCTTCTTAGGTAAACATTTAGCAGCAAATTCTTAAACCAGACCATGAAAGAAGTAAAAAATAAATAAAACTGCTTCTACATATCATAAATGAAACGCTTAAATTACAGTATAGTTATAATTAATAAATTTATCATAGACTTTTAACTTCAATACAAGAAGTATGTAAGAGGTCAAGTCTATTTAAATTGTGATTTTGATGTGAGCATATTCATGTTTAGTGTTGGGCCTTTAAAAAAAATTGTATCTGGACTTTATGTACAGTCGTGGAGAAGTAACTTGAAATTTTTTGCCTCTATCAACAAATTTTGGCATATGTTAGTACTCTGAAAAAAAGATTCACATTTGTAAGTTGAAATTTAGTTCTTTCACATAATTTTGATAACCACTTCATGTGTGTGAATTCTTTGATTTGGTGTGTTCTTTTTAGATTAAAAATAGCCAAAGAACTTTATTGAGTTTTTGAAAGAAACAGTGGCAAAGTGTTGTTTTCTTCTTCTAGGAGATTCTCAGATGTTTTAAACATAACATTAGTTTAGAATTTAAAAGGTTTCAAAATTTTCTGACTTGTCTTTTGACACATATAGTTCATATTCCAGAAAGGCTTCAGAAGTAAAATTCCAGGCACAGTTATTATTCCTGTATATTTGTCGGTAACTCTGCTATTTATGCAACAGTTCAACAGTTGTCATACTTTCTTTTGGTTATAACTTCTAATTATGACTTAATACAAAAGAAAGGTGAAACACAATGGCCTGCTGAACTTCACAGTAAGGTTCATTAAGAATTCTAACATTTAAAATGATAGTTTAATTTTTAGTATAATTTAATTGCAGAGGAGTTTTTTATAAATAGTTTTGGCAAATGCTGTAAATTATGCCTTTTCTTTTTTTTTACTAGAATGTTTTTGATTATAGATCACACAGATTGATCTATGGTTGCTTTTAATGTCTTGATCTGCAACTGTGGGATGCTTCCACTATGAGAAGTTGCCTCCAGTTTTTTAAGGCAAAGCAAACTGATTGGAAAAGATGAAACTACTATACTCCTAATACTGAAATACTGGCTTTAAACATACCTACATTATACCAATGATACTAGAAAACAACTTGAATGTATACATCTAGCCCCAATGTTTTGAATCACTGTGTATGTTGAATACATACAGTATTTACAACTATATGTACTTACTACAATGTCTTTGGACCTATTATGCCTCAGTGTGAGCATTTGCAAAAGACCGTGTCTTTTTCTCCTATTTCATGAACGATGTATCAAACTCTGTGAGTTAAGACTGGAAACTTAAAAAAAAAAAAAAAGAAAAGAAGAGACTGGACACTAACCTGTGCTTGGGGTCATAATTAACTGAAGCATCCTAAATATGGCTAAAAGATGCACATACTTGACACAGACATTCAGAGATAGATGATGGTGTTTAGTATTATAGAGCAGATTAAGATTTCAGTGAATTGAGGTGAGACAAAAAAGGAAGAAAGGTAGTGAAACAATCATTGATAAGTTAACTATAGTTAAGAATTATTAAAGTGAGAAAATATTCAAAGACTGTTTGAATTTTCATTTTATCCATTAGATATTGGTAGATACAGTGTGGGCCCTCTCTTACCTTACTGATGCTGGCAATGAACAGATACAGATGGTAATAGACTCTGGAATAGTCCCTCACTTGGTTCCTCTGCTCAGCCACCAGGAAGTTAAAGTTCAGGTGAGTTTGTTGTTGATAATAATATAAGGTGTTTTGCTTTGTTTACCACTAATTTGCTTTAAGCATGGCATTCAGAAATGGACAATTTCATTAGTTTAAAGTATATTTCTAGCCTAATAACACATCTTTTTTTTTTAATTAAAAAAAAATTTTTTTTAAGATTTTATTTTATTTATTTGTCAGAGAGATAGGGAGAACACAAGCAGACAGAACAGCAGGCAGAGACAGAGAGAGAAGCAGGCTCCCTGCTGAGCAAGGAGCCTGATGTGGGACTTGATCCCAAGACTCTGGGATCATGACTTGAGCTGAAGGCAGCGGCTTAACCAGCTGAGCCACCCAGGTGTCCCTAATAACACATCTTTTAAAAAATATTTTATTTAGGGGCGCCTGGGTGGCTCAGTGGGTTAAGCCTCTGCCTTCAGCTCAGGTCATGATCTCAGGGTCCTGGGATTGAGCCCCGCAAGGGGCTCTCTGCTCAGCAGGGAGCCTGCTTCTCCCTCTCTCTCTCTCTGCCTGCCTCTGCCTAATTGTGATCTCTGTCTGTCAAATAAATAAATAAAATCTTTAAAAAAAATCTTTTATTTAATCGTTTTTATTGAAGTATAGTTGACACACAATGTTACATTAGTTTCAGGTATTCAGCATAGCAATCCATCTTCTCTGTAAGTTATGCTGTGCTCATTACAAGTGTAGCTACCATCTCTCACAGTATAATGCTATTATAATACCCCTGACTATATTCTCTATGCTATACTGTGTATCCCTTGACTTATTCATCAGAGTACTGGAAGCCTCTCTCTCCCACTCCCCATTTTGCCCATCCCCCCACTCTGGCAAACATGAGTTTGTTGTCTGTATTTATGGGTCTGTTTCTGCTTTTTGTTTATTCCTTTTGCTTCTTAGAGTCCACATATAAGTGAAATCATATGGTATTTTTCTTTCTCTTATTTATTTCATTTAGCATCTTTAGGTCCATCCATGTGGTGTTGTACATGACAAGGTCTCATTCTCTTTATGGCTAATATTCCATTGGTGTGTATACACACACACACACACACACACACACACACACACCACATTTTTACCCATTCATCTATCGATAGACTCATGGGTTGCTTTCATATCTTGGCTATTGTAAGTAATGCCACAGAAAACATAGGGGTGCAGATATCTTTTTGAAATAAAACAAGAACATATCTTTGATGAAAAGAATGAGGTATTAAGTCCCCATTTTAAAGATGGAGAAAGTGAGGTAAGATCACTATAGGTCAACAAGAACCATTCCCCTTCCTTTTTTTTTTTTTTCTTTTGGTTATTACAAAAATTTATTTAACAAAAAAGCTCAATATGAAAACGCACACAATCTGATTTTTATATTGTAGTAAAACAGGTACTATGGAGAGGGGACATGTGGAAGCAGTTAATTCTTCTGATGAACACATCCGTTGTTTATACTCGTTCTAAGGCTTCTAACATGATGATACTATTTCCTCGTATTACCACCATTCCAATATTGTTCTGTTGCCCACTAGTTGCCATCTCCACACATTCATCTATCACAAGATTGATAAATGGATCGAACCCCTGTAATATTCCTTGAACATGTCTGCCACCATTTAATTTCAATGATAATTTCTTGTCCATAAATTTTTTCAACTCAGGAGGGTGAGCTTTGCTCATGGTGTCTACTCAGCAAGCTCAAAGATGCCTCCAAACTGCTCCCCTTCCCTTTTCTTATACCCCACCAAAAACCTCACCCAGGGCATCTCCTTAGTAGATTACTGATTTCTAAGGTAGACCTAGGAAATTCACATGGTAACTTGGGTGGCATCTGAAACAAGTACTGATACTTTGTTTTTTTCTGTGCTTCTTATTTTTCTTCATTTTTCCTACTCTTTTCCTTTCTCCCCTCTTTTTCTTAACTCTCCATACTGCACTGGGCAACCTTAACGTTTCGTTTCATTGGCACTATCTGTGATAAAGGCTTTATACTGAAACATACTGATCAGGGGCTTCCTAAATTTCCTTTTAGTTATTTAAAATCTTTTTTTAATGGGGTGCCTGGGTGGCTCAGTTGTTTAAGCATCTGACTTCATCTCAGGTCATGATCTCTGGGTCCTGGGACCAAGCCACCAGGCATTTCCTTGCTCAGTAAGGAGTCTGCTTGTCCTTCTCCCCCCAAATAAAGAAATAAAATCTTTTTTAAATAAATAAATCTTTTTTAAACTTTGTTTTATCCTTTTATTTTTAAATCCTTCCACATAAATATTTATCCCAAACCTGCATCTAGAAAGAGCCAAAAAGAGAGGGTGAGAAGTTCAGACAAATATTATAAGGAGTAACTGTCAAACTGCAGTGGTAAAGGGAGATACAGCAAGCTTTAATTATATGATGACTTAACAGTCTATTCAGCAGTAGCATAAGGAAAAACTATTAACCTAATTCCCTGTTTCTCAACCCTGGGTAGACATTAAAATCACCTGTGAAGCTTAAAGAAAAAAAAATATTTCCCTTGACACCTAGAGATTGTTTTAATAAATCTGGGATATTTCCTAGAAACCTGGGCTTCAAAAAGCTCTTCAGATGATACTTGTGTACAATTGGAATGGAGAATACAAACCGTAAAATTTAAAGTAGTTTAAGGAAAGAGGGAACACTTAGCTGAATTCAGGAATCGAATAAATAGTTTGCCATTTATGGGTATTTGTGGCACATTTAAAATATTTTAATAGGGGCACCTAACTGGCTCAGTCAGAGGAGCATGCGACTCTTGAACTCAGGGTAGTAAGTTTAAGCCCTGTGTTAAGTGTAGAGATTACTTTTAAAAAAATAAATAAACTTTTAAAGAAATAAAATATTCATACTAGATAATTATAATTAAGTTTGCATTTCTTAAGTGTAGTACTTACGTCTTGGTATAGGTATTTGGTTTGGTTTTGGTTTGGTTATTTTTGTTTTGTTTTGTTTTGTTTTCAGAATGCATCATTAGTTTTAATATTGGATTTCATTGAGAAATAGGGTTGAAAATTTTCTTTAGCAGCTCTCAGTGCCCTCTGTACTTTACACAATACCTAGTAGAGATTTTTAAAATTTTTTAAACTTTAACTCTATCATTTAGGAAAAGAGAATAGTTGTAATGAACCACCATGTAGGTTTCCTCTACATCCCTACTTGCTCCCTCCTGGCAAATTACTTTGACACATCCCAGATAGCATATAATTTCGTCCAGCTTCTCTTAAAAATGAGGTTATATGTTTTTACATATCACAGTACTATTAGCGTATTTCTTAATTTTAATATTAAAACCCAGTCAGTATCCAGATTTTACTGATTGCTTCATATTTTTTCACAGTTTGACCAAATCAGCCTCTAAACAAGATTAACACATTGCATTTGGTAGCTTTGTCTTAAGTTTCTGTTACTCTACAATTCTATTTTTCTTTGCTCTTTTATATTTATTTGTCAAAGAATCTAGGTCACTACAAAACATTTTTTTTTTTTTTTAATTTATTTGCCAGAGAGAGAGAGTGCGCAAGTGAGCACAGGCAGGCTGAGTGGCAGCAGAGGCAGAGGGAGAAGCAAGCTCCCCGCCGAGCAAGGAGCCCGATGTGGGACTCAATCCCAGGACGCTGGGATCATGACCTGAGCCGAAGGTAGCTGCTCAACCAACTGAGCCACCCAGGTGTCCCACTACAAAATATTTTTAAAAGAAATTAAAGAATACTTAAATAAATGGAAAAACATCCATGTTCATAGATTAGAAGACAGTGTTGTTAGGAAGGCAGTGCTTCTCAAATTTACCTATAGGTTAAATGCAGTTCCTGTTGGGTCACCTGGGTGGCTCACTGGGTTGAGTATCTGCCTTTGGTATCTGCCTTTGGTTCAGATCATGATCCCAGGGTCCTGGGATGGAGCCCTGTCCTATGTCAGTCTCCCTGCTCTGCTTCTCCTTCTCCCTGTTGCTCTCTCTCTGCTCGTTCTGTCAAATAAATAAATAAAATCTTTAAAAAAAAAAAAAGACTCCAGATATAAACCCATATGATCAATTGATTTTCAACAAAGATGCCAAGAAAATTCAATTAGCAAAGAGGAGTCTTTTCAAGAAATGGTAATTAAACAAATGGAGCTAAGACTACTGAATATCTACATGTAAACAAATGAAATTAGCTCCCTATTTATAAAAATTAGCTCAGAATAGGTCAGACACCCAAGTATAAGAGCTAGAAGTGTAAACCTCTTAGAAGAAAACATAAGCATTAATTTTCATGACTTTGGATTAGACAGCAATTTTTTAGATTTGATATGATAAGCACAAGCAACCAAGGAGAAAACTAGATCAGTTGGACTTCATCAAGATTAAAAAACTTGTGCTTCTAAGGAGACCGTCAAGAAAGTGAAAAGAAAACCCACAGAATGAAAGAGCAAATCATGTATTTGAAAAGGGACTTGGGTCCCAAATAAAGAATTCTTAACAACAGTAAAAAAAATAATCCCATTAAAAATTGGCAAAACATTTAAATACAGTTATCCAGAGAAGACATTCAAATGGTCAATAAGCACATGAGAAGATGTTCAACATCATTAGCCATGAAAAAAATGTAAATCAAAGCTGCAATGAAATACCACTTCATAAACACCAGGATGTATATAATCAAAAAGAGGTTAACAAGTTTTGGCAAAGATGTAGAAAAAGTGGAATCCTTATACATCTATGGAAATTAAAATGGTACAGCCTCTTTGGCATACAGTGTGATAGTACCTCAGAAAGTTAGGTACAGAGTTACTGTATAACTCAGCATTTTCCACTCCTAGATGTATATATAACCAAGAGAACTGAAAGCAGATGTTCACACAAGAACTGGCACACAAATGTTTATGGCACTATTACTGTTAATAGCCAGTGAAAACAAAATGTTTATCCACTAATGAATATTTAAATAAAATACATTCCACTTATATAACTGGACTATTATTTGGCTGTGAAAAGGAATGAAGTATCGATGCATGCTACAACATGAATGGACCTTGAAAGCATTACATTAAATGAAGGAAGCCAGACAAAAAAGGCTACCTACTGTCTTGATTCCAGTTATATGAAATGTCTGGAATAGACAAATCCACAGGCATCGTAGCTTTCAGGAACCCCCCCCCCAACCAGTGAGGGAAATGGGAGTGACTGCTAGTGGATACAGATACCCCTTTTTGATGTGATAAAAATGTTCTGGAATTACATATAATGGTTGCACAACTTTGGAGGTATAAGAACCACTGAATTCTGCATTTTGAAAGGGTGAATTTTGTGTTCTATAAATTATATTTCAATTTGGGAGGGAAACTGAGTCATTTGTCTTATAAATGTTAAAATTAGCCCCCCCCATAAAAGCTCTAACTTGAGAAAAAATGACCTGATACAACTATAAAAAAAATTGGTAATTCAAATTCATATGATAGTGAAATCTCATACAGGTTCCTGCCCTCCTTCAGAAGAGCCCTGTGTTTTTGTTTGTAATTTATTGAAACACTGAATCAAAAATCCAAAGTACTTATTGTCTTTATGGCCGTAATTACTACTCAAAATTATCCTTATTTGTTTGTTTATGACTGTCTTTCACAATAATGTAAACTCCATAACCCTGTCCTGTTCACTCCTTTGTTCCTAAATTGGTATCAGACAGTTGCTCAAAAACAGTAGGTTGGCATGAATGAAAGAGTGTTATCTTTCATAATAGAACATGTCATTACATCTTTTGTTTCAGACTGCAGCACTTCGAGCTGTGGGCAACATTGTTACTGGAACTGATGAGCAAACACAAGTAGTTTTGAACTGTGATGCTCTTTCACACTTCCCAGCACTTCTGACACATCCCAAAGAGAAAATAAATAAAGTAAGTATTTTTAAATACTGCCTAATAACACACAAAGTATCAGCAGTTTTCATTTGTAAAATTAGGGATTCAGAAGTATCTATAATGATTATTAATGTAAACCATCATTTAGACATCAAGATAAGTTAGAATATTTTATTCTTTTAACATGGATTTCTGTGATTTTTTTGTATATAAAACCAGTTGTAAACAATGCAAATTTGGCTCTCTTGGAAATGATGAAATAGAGATAATTGGGTGTTGAATGTTGTGTGATTGGAAAATTCTAATGTGTGAGTCATGTAATTAAGCTTAATATTTTATAGATACTTAATAGTGTGTGTGTGTGTGTGTGTGTGTGTGTGTGATCATGGAGGCTATTGAAAGGGGGCACTGATTGGTGATGCTGATATTGGAGTGCATCTGAGGCTGTTGTAGAAATACACGGGCTGTTGATTACAACATTGCCAATGATTATAACCCAAGAACAGCTCACCTAAGTAGCCTAGCACCCTAACATCTCTAACAGGTTCATTAAACATGGTCCTGTGATCTGATCCAAAGAGCCTGCTTGATTAGCTAATACTAATACTTTAGGGAATAAAATGTGTTTACTAATTTTTTTTAAATAGAGAAAATGTTTCCATTTACGTTGAGTAATGTAATAAATTTATGTCTGGTAAATGACAGTAATATCCTACATAGGATATGAGGTTGATATTTTGTCTTATTTCATGCTAACTGGTCTTAGTGTGCATTTGTTGTCTGTGAAACTTGTGAACCACTTGAGTACCATCATCTTGTCAAAAGCAGTAAGCACTACCGAAGTGTAAAGGGTAGCATAAAAAGATCATTAAGGTAGACCAATGAAGCAATCAAACATCTGGTTCCACTTTAGCTCTTGAGAGAAATGGTGCAGTGAATGACTTACAAATAAGTATACTAAAATACCACACTATTTCAATGTTCTTGTCTCCATTATCATGGATAGTTGAGATTTACCGACTTTGACTAGCATTCTTGATCACAATAAAATAGAGAATAAAGCACATTATGTGAGGGGGATGCTAAATCTCACTTACAGTAGTTTTGGGATTTTTATCTATATTACAGCTCATGGATTCCTTAGTATTTGTTCAGACAAGCTTCTTTTGAGTCTTACGTTTGGGAACATTGTTTTGAAGAATTTTCAGAAGGTTTGGTTCATTATGACTTGATATAGGGCCATTAGCAATTTGTTCAGGGAAAATACAGAAGGTGGGGGGATAGAGGAGTTAAGGTTCCTGAGATTTTTATTATAGAACTTGTTCCATAGTAAAATCATTTGGACATTGTAACAAATGTAGTGAATTTAGTTCAGATGTAGATTTTAATTTTTAATGAGAAATATTCAAGGGGTCCTTGTTCTGCAGGAAGCAGTGTGGTTCCTCTCTAACATCACCGCAGGAAATCAGCAGCAGGTTCAGGCAGTAATTGATGCCAATCTTGTACCGATGATAATACACCTTTTGGATAAGGTAAGAAAATCATCTTGTATTATAATCTGAGTAAGAGGAAAATGATTTAAATTTAATAAATTATGTGAATATATGCCTCTGTTTAATTAGAACCTATACAGTGGCATAAATACTACAGTAAAGTAGTAGTAACGTGAAAACTTTGAACCTAGCAGTTTTTATATATAAAAAACACATTTCTTTTTAGGAACCCCTAGCCCTTCTTCTGTATCATTCCTTTACCAATAATTACTATTACTCTGGGATTTATTAAAAATACATTATTATTTTTAAAAAACTCATTACTGATGATAATATTCAAAATTATAATTGTTACTGCTGATTATAAATGCTTACGTACTATTCTCACTCCACATCTATTACTTCATGTAATACTACAACTCCATGAGCTTAAGAATTATCCCTTTTTGACAGATGAAGAAACTATGATATAGACAAATTGTCCAAAATCAAACAGTAAGTAAGTGTGCTATTTAATCATATGCTGTATCATCTCTCATACTTACATTAATGTTTGGGAAAGAGACAATTTAAAATGTCACAGTCACAGCACGAGGGTTTTTTCTGAACATTGATCTGTAATTAGAAGATAACTCTATCTTCTTTTCCTCCATGTGTTCTACAGACTGGTAGCAAAGGCTTAGTTTCCTATAAACTGGTAGATCTGGTTCAGTTTTTTAGGCAAGGCTTAATGTATTATTCTGTATTTCCTAATGATTCACATCAGAAGACCTATACTGTTTTAACCTTATCTCCAGATGTCCTACATCTGTCCTCTTCAAATTGATGAGTAAGCTCAGGTGCACATGAGCCTGCTCCAACTAATTGTTATAAACCTGTCCATTGGTCTTTGCCTAGTGGTTTTCAGGTAGTGATTAATGATGATTGTGTGGATCCCTTATTTTATTAGGAACTGCAAAATGGTGACTTTCTAATTCTGTCATTCTTTATGTATTAACTGTGATTTCTCAATAGAAAGCTTTTTTCTTTATCACCTATTGGTTTACTCTGAAATATGTTTCATATAAGAAAAGCAAGATAAATTCTCATCACTTAGTTTTTGTTTTGTTGTTTTGGGGGTGTGTGTGTGTGTAAGTAGGCTCCATGCAGGGCTTGAACATTCAACCCTGAGATCAAGACCTGAGCTGAGATGAAAAATCATATGCCTAACAGACTGAGCCACCCAGGCATCCCATTATTCACTTAGTTTTTAGAATAACATGGTTCTCTAACAACCTCAAAAGGATACTAGGGGGTAGTTCTTAGTGTTATTAGGAAATTAGGAATTTTTATCTGTATTTTGTACGTTTTTGACCATTGTAGTTATTTTTTCTAACACTAAGATTGTCCCTAACCAATGGAAACCTCTTAAATTTAGCGCCTGAGTCTTTTTTACATCACCTTAGTAGTTTTTGAGAGCTTCTTACCTTTGGAATATGACATAGTTCTCAAGCTTCTTTTATGTATTTTCTGACCTAGACTCTCCAGGGTGTCCTTTTAGATAGCAGATAGTATATAAGTGTCATAGTTCAGGTCGTAAGGATGATAATTGCTACAAGGTTGTCATTGTTTCTAGGCCTGAGTGAACAAAATGGGTGATAATATGTTTGTTTTTGTTTTTGTTTTTAGAAAATAGGAAATAGGGATGCCTGACTGGCTCAGTCAGTCAGTAGAGCATATGACTCTTTATTTTCAGGATCATGAGTTCAAGCCCCACATTGGGCATGAAGCCTACTTTAAAAAAAAAGAAACAAGTAGGAAATATATAGTAATTTTGTGAACATGAGAATTCATAAGAAACAAATCATGAATGAAAAAATATCAAATATCACTGGGTATTTAAGATAAGCTTTTTATTCTTTGATTTGTAGTTTTATCTCTTATGTTGGAAATCCTTCTAAAATATTACAATATATATTGAGATACATAAAATTTATCAAAATAAGATCACATTGCCACTAACAACATGACTACTTCACTGTTAAGATTTCCTTGAAAGATTTTGTTTTTAGGATGTATTCCATCAGTGATGTCCTTAAAATGGTGGTGTGTCACTTGAAATAATTTTTGTATATGTGATTAAGTCACCAACTTGGTATACAGTTAGGTTATTTATTTCTGTTTCTTTCTTTTTTTTTTTTTTTTTTTTTAAGATTTTATTTATTTGACAGAGATCACAAGTAGGCAGAGAGACAGGAAGGAAAGCAGGCTCCCTGCTGAGCAGAGAGCCCAATGCCAGGACACTGGGATCATGACCTGAGCCGAAGGCAGAGGCTTCAACTGAGCCACCCAGGCGCCCCTCTGTTTGTTTCTTATTTGGGGAAATTACTTTAGTATTTTTGTTTGTTTGGGGTTTTTTGGTTATATAAAGGCATATATGTAAATTTTGCTGTATAGTATTATTCCCTTTCTGTAAGGATTGTACCATTTTACAGTCCTACCAGCCTCACTGATAGATATTTTGCATTTTATCAGTCTGATATATAAAAATAGATATCCCACTACAGTATTAATTTTTGTTACTCATATATATAAGTTTTTTTCTTAATTGTAAGCATTTTTCCAGGTTGCTAGTCTTCTTTATATTTAAAAACAGGTCGTTATTCTATTTAGCAGATATATTGTAGTTGTTTATTCCACTGTTGTTGAGAATTCTGATTGCTTTTACTTTTTTTTTTTTTTTTTAAGATTTTATTTATTTATTCGACAGAGATCATAAGCAGGCAGAGAGGCAGGCAGAGAGAGAGGAGGAAGCAGGCTCCCTGCTGAGCAGAGAGCCCCTTGCGGGGCTCGATCCCAGGACTCTGAGATCACGACCCGAGCCGAAGGCAGCGGCCTAACCCACTGAGCCACCCAGGCGCCCCTGCTTTTACTTTTTGACTAATGTGCTACTAAGATAATATCTAGAAGGATACATAATACTCCTTAGCTTTAAATTATTTCTTGTTAAGTTCTCAGAGATTCTCACCTCTGAGAACCTCATGTAGTCATTAGATGTATTACTAAGTTTATTACTGAATCATAAAATGACTTTTAAAATGATTTTTAAGTATATTTTTTCAATTTGTACTTGAAAGGTAATGTAGGAGGGTAATGTTTTTATATAATAGTCTCATTAATGGTGGAAATCATGATTTTTAAAACTTTGTTTTATGTTTAAAAGAATTACTTGACATTTCTTTGATTAAATTGAAATGTATGTGGTTTTTTTTTGTTTTGTTTTGTTTTACTTCTTATTTTATCACTCACTTCATTTAATCTGACTTAATTGAACAGTAATACCAAGTCAGTTTGTTGCCAGGAGAGTTTACAAAAGGGAGTCTGCATTTGTTTAGGGTAAATGTGTTGTTTTTTTGTTTGTTTGTTTGGTTTGGTTTAGGGTAAATTGAATTCAAAATCTTCTCTTACATAAAAATTATGTATGCATATAGAAAGGCTAGAAAAAACCTGGAGAAATAAGCAGTTGAGTATAATTTCAGACAACATTTTTCATCAGTTTAAACTATGTTGCAATTTGTATCCTTGGCTTTTACAGGGGGATTTTGGCACTCAGAAAGAAGCTGCTTGGGCCATAAGTAACTTAACCATTAGTGGGAGGAAAGATCAAGTAAGTTCAGCTCTTACTTATTTCTCAAAACGGGTAAAATAACAGTACAGATAATTCTAAGATTTAGAGTTCAATTAAATCATAATATAAAATAGTAGCAAGATAACAGGCATTCTGTGATTTCTTTTCCCCCCCATATAAAAGGGTCACCTTGACTTCCTTTAATTATATTTTATAGATGAGAAGTGTTATACTGCCTTGGCCTACAAAATTTTTGTAGGTCATGGTAAGATCAAAACATATGTAGTCAGGGTTTATTTGGGTTTAGCAATAGGAAAAAACAGGACTTTTTAGCTTAATAGGGCAGACTGAAACAGCATCACAGATTCTCATAACAATTGAAGATAACCAAAGAGAACACAAACAGCAACAAAAATTTACCAGTAGTAAACAAAGCAAGGAACTAATGTAAACCAAAAGGCTAGGTCTGGGAATTAAGGAAAAGGAATATAAGGAGCCTAGGGTGTAAAGTTTAAAGAGGCACTCATTCTGGAGTTGTGTGGGTGACAAAGCTTAACATTGTGCCAACTGGCAAAAAAAAAAAAAATGAGTTTCAAAGGTTCCAGGTAAATTTCACAGATAGGTAAAAAGAGTGAACTTAAAGCTGGTAAACAATAAGCTGAGAATTGTCACAGATAAGCTATAAACTGGTAGTGAGCAATGAATCCACTTAAATCTGAATACAGAGCAGAATATACATACAGTACATGGAAATGACAATATAACAAAATATAAAAATGATAGAAAATATTACAGAAATATTATAGAACCAATTAAATAATGAATTGAAGGTGGCCAGGTATTTGAGTGTTATAAATGTTACAGCACTCTCACATTGGATACCATAACACTGAACAGTTGTAGCTTTTAAAAAATATCATCCAGCCTCTGTACAGATTTCATAATTTTTTAACCTAAAGGGGAGGAAGGGGCCTTTGAAAAGAGTACTCTTAAGGCAAATGTTTCATATGACGTTGAATGATTCCTTCATTTTCATTTGTTTTTTTCCTAAGTTCAAGAAAAGCACTACATTAAAAGGAGAAGGAATCTCATAGTAAAATAATAAATTAATCTGATATGGTCTAACATAACACGTGAGACATGTTTTCACACTCAAAATTTTAAAGTCAGAATTATTTCAGTAAGATCATATGGTACACAAACAAAATTCACCTATGTTTATTTTATCATGGTGTTTTTCTTTAGGTGGCCTATCTAATTCAACAAAATGTTATTCCACCCTTTTGCAACTTGCTGACTGTAAAAGATGCACAAGTTGTGCAAGTAGTACTTGATGGACTAAGTAATATATTAAAAATGGCTGAAGATGAGGCAGAAACCATAGCCAATCTTATAGAAGAATGTGGAGGTAAGTTTATTATAAGCTGTTATTTCACGCTTTAATGTTCTTTTTGTAGCTACATTTATTTTCTGACTTATTTAACTTAGCATTTATGTTCTTTTTGTAGCTACATTTATTTTCTGACTAATGTAGCACTTCTGTATTTTTCTGTCTTAGATTATCAAGTAACAGAATAAAGTAAATACTATATGCTATATGTACAGTCCTGCTCAGCTTCTTGCATATGCATAGGTATTGAATTGCTGCCATGTATTGAACAGGCACTGTGCTAAGGGTACTGGGGAAACAGTGGTAAACAAGACACAGTCCTTGCCCTCAAGGCATGTAGTTCAGTCATGGAGATAAATATGAACTGATTTAATGTGCTAATTACCCTAATAGAAATGTACAACAAAATGAAATACCTGGAAGAAGCAGGAAGTGACACCTGAGCTGGATTTTGAGAGATGAATAAGGATTTATAAAGTAAAAAGGGATGAGAGGTGTTCCAGGCAGAGATAACACCATGAGCAAAGTCTGAGGTGAGACCTAGCATTCAGCAAATTATAAGTAGTTCAGTGTTGCTGAATCACAAAGTATGGGGTAGAAACTGCCTACATATGAGGCTGGAGATATTGCCACCAACCAGGCCCCTGCAGTCTTACAACTTGGTAGCACAGCAGATTCTTTATTCTATAGGGCAGTAGTTCCCAAATCTGATTCTGTGCCAGAGCCACCTAGAATGTAAACAGCACAGCTTAGCTTTCAGCACCTAGAATTACTGTGTAGATAGAACGTGGAAGACTCAGTTGTAGCTGTGGACCAAAATGTGAATGTGACCAACCCGGATAAGCACAAAAGGAAGGTTATTTCTGACAGATGTTGAGAATTAAATGAAAGGAGAAGTAACTATAAGAGTAGGAGAACCATATTCTCAATTTGCTTAGTGAAGGTAGTTCAGAGGCTTGAAAGAAAGAAGTATTTTTAAAGTTACTAAAGTGACATAGAGAGCAACAGAAAACACATAGCTATCAAGTTAGGAACAGGAGGTGGAGAAGAGTGTTAGGGAACCTAACCTAATAGTGTTAGGGAAGTTGAGTACCAGAAAAATTAAAAACAAGTATAGTTTAAAATTTTTTACTAGTATTTTTTCCCCACATAAACATTTTAATTACTAAAAATTTTATTTTTATAAATTAAAATTAAAATCCAGATCTGAGCCTTGCCCTTACCACTGGCAGTAAGGCCAGAAATCTGTATCATATAAGCTTCCCCGATGAATTCTGCCCCAGGGTATCACAAGCCACTGAAAGATTTTACCTAAGGGATAGGTATCTTTAAATGGAGCATGGATATCAGGGAAATGAGACTGTTGGAGACAAGAGGCAGGAAACCAGTTAGGAAGGTATATAGCAGTCTGGGCCACAGTAAATGATGACAGGATTTAAGAGATAGACTTTGAGGTTTTTGAGATTTGATGATAGAGTATTGAGGGAAAGGGGAGCTTATTAGGCTTTGTCTCCAATTTCAAGTTATTAATTATCATGAAGTAAGGATACAGTAGAACAAATAGTTTAATTGAGGAAAGGCAAGTAATAAATTGTGTTTGGACATTTTGAGTAGTAAGTACACATGAAACATCTGGTGGAATTATCATGCAGGCATTTTAATTTTATGCTTCTGAAGCCCAGAAAAGAACAAGTCCTCACCCTATCATAGTGGCTAAATTCTTTTCTTTTCTTTTCTTTTTTTTTTTTTTTTTTAAGATTTTCTTTTTAAGCAATCCCCATACCTAGCATGGGGCTCAAACAGCCCCGAGATCAAGAGTTGCATACTTCACTGGCCAAGCCAGCCAGACGTCCCTAGCTAAATTCTTTACTTAAGGCGGGCTCACTACATAGAATGTGTAGAGTGAAAAAAGAAAAAAAAAAAAGAATGTGTAGAGTGAAAAATGAGCCCAAAACAACTTCTCCCATGTAAGGAATAGATAAAGAAGAACACTCATGAAAGGGCAGTTTTCACTTTATTTCAGAAACCTTAAAATTATTACTCCTATAAAGCAAAATAAGATGCATTTTGCTTATCAGTTAAGTTTATATATTCTTAGTAATATTTCTGACCTATGATTTAATAAGCTCATTAGTGTTTATGGGGAAATTCCCCTTCCCCCTGAAGTACTGTGGTTGATCTTGATCATTTTCCATAATACTTAACAGATGTCTTGACATTCATATTTATTAATCACCAGTTTTTTCATTATTTTTTTACATGTATCGTTAGAAAAACTTGGCAGAAGCTAGAAAGTAAAAAGAATATGCTTTTAACTTGTAACAAACAAAAGTAATCCATGTTATTATTCCTTATAAACATTGGTTATACAGTAATCTGAATAGAGAGGTGTCCGTTGCTTGCTTAAACATACGAATTTAAACACTCAGGTGGTTAACTTTTTAAGATAAATATGCTGTATTTTTGTGCATAAAGCCTTTTTAAGAAATTCACCTTTAGAATAGAGTCCCAAAAATCACAGATTTAACTGTCCCAAAATTGGGATTATGTGGTCCCAAGATTATTGTAAATTTTTTGTTCTTATGTTTTAAATATTACCATTGTTTCACTTCATAAAATTTCTTGCAGGACTGGAGAAAATTGAACAACTTCAAAATCATGAAAATGAAGACATCTACAAATTGGCCTATGAGATCATTGATCAGTTCTTCTCTTCAGATGATGTATTTAATAATTTTATGGTTTTATTAGTTTTATGTACAAACATAAGTCTAGAAATAATATAAGCTAGGACATACACTTTTTTGGAATGTAATTAAAATAATGTCACTTTCAGAAATATTTTAAAGTCCCTCAGGGCATTAAAAAGTACTGGTTCTAAGGGCAAAAAAAGGATTAAGAATTTTTTTTTTCCTTTTTACGGATTTATTGCCATTAGTAGTTAAAAATAGATGAGGATTTTTTATTTTACAGGAATGCTGAAGGTCTTTGCTTGTAAAATAGCTTTTGTTTTTTAAATCTCACTATTGGAAGTTCATAGTTTTTGACCACCTTCCTCCACTTTTCTCTGCTCTTACCCTTTACCCATGGTAACCACAAGTTTGATCTTTCCTATGAGCTTTTTTATTAGGATTCCACATATAAGTTAGGTCATACAATATTTGTGTTTCTGTCTGACAAATTTATTTAACTTAGCATTAAATGCTCTCAGTGTTTATACATGTTGTTGCAAATGGCAGGGTTTCCTTTTAGTCTGTAATATTCTACTGTGTATATATATCACATTTGCTTTATCCATTCATCTTTTGGTGCACATTTAGGTTATTTCCATGCCTTGGCTATTGTAAATAATGCCACTGTGAACATAGGGTTAGAAATGTCTTTTTAAGTTAGTGTTTTCATTTCCTTTGAATATATTGTTAGAAGTGGAATTACTGAATAAACATATGATAGTTCTGTTTTTAATTTTTTAGTGGAAATACTGTTTTCCATGGTGGCTGTACTAATTTACAGTCCCACTAACAATGCACAAGGTTTCCCTTTTCTCTATATCCATACCAGCATTTGTTAACTCTTGTCTTTTTAATGATGGCCGTTTTCACAGGTGTGAGGTAATAACACTCATTGTGGTTTTAATTGGCATTGCCCTAATTACTAATGATATTGAGCATCTTTTCATGTACCTACTTACTTTTTGTATATCTTTTGGAGAAATGTCTGTTCAAGTCTTTTGCCCATTTTTTAATTGGGTGGTAGTTTTTGCTGTTGAGTTATGATAAGAATTTTTCGACACTTGACAAATCAGGCTCTGTTTTCACTTGATGTCTTTATAGTTCTCAAATTGTATATTGTTAATAGCATAACGTATTTATAAGCAAAACAGTGATACTGGTATATTCTATAATAAATCCTTAATGACAATAGTTCATCTATATTTGAAGATACTGTCACTGTTATTTTTGTTAGATGACCAAAAATAAATTTGAAGGTACATAAAATGGAAACAGTAAATCATCAAGAAGGATAAGTTACATATAATGTAAGGTGTAGTATGCAAGAGTATCTTCATATTGTCAGTATATGGTAGTTGAAATTAAAGTATTAACTTATTTTTAATGTTGCTCCTTTGGAAAAATAAATCTAAAAGCAGCTATTCCTTAGAAAATTATGATTAGATATAGCCACCAGTGGATTTTTGATAATTCTCATGTTTTCAAAAAATAACTCATATTCCTTGAAACTTTTCCATATTATCAAAAAGTGGAATGTTACTAAGTATTTTCTTAAGTGTATATGATTTAAACATTAACTTGGCATACAGCCAATACTAGAAAAGAAAATCTGTGGACTGTTTCCTTATAGATGATCAACCTAAGTCCTATTTAGAATATAATGCTAGTTAAATCAATCAGAAATAAAATTCAGAAAAACATACTCTCTTAAGGGAAGCTTTTATCACATGTTCTAAAGTTGGATTTTTGGAAATCCTAATTTGCAGTTAGGTATACACAAGACATTACGATTTCTAATACCTTAACATGAAGTTCTCTGTTAATCTCTTAACACTGTGAAAAGAATAATTCAGATGAGCATATTTATAAGAACTATACTATAGGTCAGTGATTTTTGTGATATTTCAAAAAAGAACCTGTAGATATATCATACTCATTATAGCACAGCTATTATTTTACTGTTTTAAGCCCAGATGTCATTTGTCTCCAGTTGCTAGTAAAAAATTAACTAAAGATTACATTTACTCTCCAAAAGTGACAGCATTAAGTTTTTTAATGTCATCAACTTTTATCTATTTGCCCAGGTAAAAGGGATATTAGAGTATCCTCTCAGTTTGAGGTGTAGGACCATTTCCAGTTTATTACTTATATTTCACTCTTTTGGAAGATACCTATCTTGCATATTCTCTTAAGTTTCCTCTCATTTTGGTGTCCTCCAAGAAAAAGCCTTCACGAAGTGTTTCTAAAGAGGTGGTAGGACAATGTTGGCTCTCATCATCTCTCTCATAGTTTCTTATGGAAATGAGAATATTTCTATAATGTTATTTATGTAACCTTTAAAACTAATTATCACTTATTTTTTCTTTTTTCCTTTAGATTGATGAAGATCCTAGCCTTGTTCCAGAGGCAATACAAGGTGGAACATTTGGTTTCAATTCATCTGCCAACGTACCAACAGAAGGGTTCCAGTTTTAGAAAGATGTTGTGGAAGTTAGGTACAATGCAGCACTGAGATATATATATATATATACATATATATAAAAAGGTTTGATCCATCAAGCTTGGCTCATGGGATCTGCTGCTGCATTAAATCGGGAAAGAAAATGTGAAGATTTCATTTGGAATCACAGAAAATGCCCAAATGAGGTCAAGATGGCGAGTGGGTGCGAGTGAGAATGAGTGGCAAAATGTAACGAAAACTTTACATGAATGCTTATTTAGGTTGTTCAAAGTAAAAAGGGCTACAGGTCACAGATCTTCAGTGCCTGAGAAGGAACATTGACTTACTCTGTATCATTTGAGGGGAAAGTGCAGTACTGTCATCTTCAAGCCTTGTAAGCATAAAAGAGGATACGATGCCCATATAAGTCAAAGGAAACCGAGCCCAGGCCTTGCTATGAAGCAGTGTGTGAGTGGACAATGTTGAATGAATGTCTGGCTCAGTGATAGGGAGTCAGGTTCATCTTTCAAATCTAGGGCTCTTCACTCATGAAGCAGACTCCTAGTCCTGGAGTGACTGTGTACGAGAGTATGGTTGTGGTGCTGTATGTGAACGCATGCAAGCTTGATTCGCCTTCAGGGGGCTGATAACAAACCTAGTAAATCATCAAAGTGAGATCATAAGTGTTAATGTACACTGGACATGAAAACAAAGACCGGTTTAGCAGCAGACATTGGTTTACTCTGCAGCCTGTGTTTTCTACTCCCCCTCTTCCCTTTACCCACCCCCTCCTTTTTTTTTTCTTCTTAGTTTTTATTTACTTTACCTAGTATGGCTTTTTAGTTGCTTTTCAAGTCAGAAAACTTTTCAGGAAGGTTTCCCTGTGCATTTGCACCAGATGAATGTTTGATGCTATGAAAAGCTTTCCATATCATCAAAACTAATTTGTGTAGATTTTTGCATGAAAAAAATCATAAATTTCCCTCAAAATAGACTGTGTTGCAGTACACAAGTTGCCATAATAGTATAAAACAGTAAAATGTGCTTTAAAAAGCCATCCTTTTCATTTTCAGAGATAACATAAAGATCTTTGCATGAGGTAAATCTACAGCATAGTTCATTTTTAGATTTTGTTGAGTCCTGTAAAGAAGAAGAAGAAAAAAGTTTCAGTTGTGGTAGAATACCGTGCTGTGTTTAAATGTTACTTGTTTTCAAACTTTGTTTTCTATGAAAATGATATGGAAACTTCTAAAATGGAATTTGGTGCATATGTACTGCTGAATAAAGACCGATGAAGAGGTTTGAGTAGATGTACAAATCAAGTAATGGTTTGAACACCTTTAATAATATGCCTAATCTGTTCAATTGTTTTAGAATCTTTTTATCTTAGATGTAGGCAGCCATGAACAATCTATTTTGAGCCACTTTAGGGAGAAAACTTTGTATTTTTAAAACTTGCATAAAAGTTATGCAAGTGGTTTTTATAAATTGGAATAATACCTCAGTTTTGAGGTTATGCACACTAAATTAAATGTGACATAAATTAATTTGTACAAAAAGAACTCTTTATAAGGTGGCTCATTGTAGGAAATCCTGTGCCTTCCCCTTTGAGCACAAGTGTTGCATGAACAACAGTTTGCTATAAGAAACATACCAGATTAGCCACCATTAGCATCTATATCTACTTTGTGTTTAAAATCAACTGGTAATTCTGAAACACTGTAGAATGGATAAAAATTATTTTGTGATCATAACTCTTTGTTGAACTAGAGTATTTTTGCAGCATTCCTTGTCATCAGAAACATGGTTAAAGTTTAAAACTAGAAGCAGCAGAAAACTAGCTTGTAAAATTTATCCAAGTAGAATGCAGGCTAGGCTGTCTTGGGGAAATAAACATTAAAACTTAAAGCAATGTTTTACATGGGGTGTGTGTGTGTGTGCTATTTGGATTTTAATATATATAAATATAAACGTAAAGTTAGAGTATAAATCAATGGCTTATTTTAGATTTTCCTTAAGTGTTTGACCTAGAACCAACATAAGAAATTTCTTCAATTCTGTACTTTTAGTGTAGACATACTAGTACTCTAACTCGCTGGATCTGTTCAGGTGACACTGTCTTTGGTTCTGGTTTCTCCCTGTCCAGCCCAGCATTTTGACCTCTTTATTATTCTTCTAGCAAAGTGGACTGAGAGAGACTATTTGAGCTATATTTTACATAGTACTGTGACTTCAACACATGGCTATAAATGGCAGATTACACACAGAGCTTGTTTTTTTACGGAAGGCTTAAATTAACAGAAGTTGACCATAACAGTTGTGTGTATAATCCATGTTTCTTAGTAAACAGATCTAGCTCAAAGTAAGGTTATAATAGGCTAAATGAGTTCATAAAATAGTTAATCCTGTAATACATCCTAGTTGTGGATGATAATCAACATCTGTGAATACAAGGGCTACCTGATAGTCTAAATATTTCATTTCTACCTGTGGTCTCATACAGGACACTGATTTTGTAATAGAATGATTGGAGGGATTTTTCGTTGTCTGAAATTTGTTTCAGCACAGTTAACAGTTCATCATAGTTAGCAGATTTAAACACAACTCTTTGTTTATTCTCCACTGATTAAGAAACTTTATTCATTTTTAACATAGAACATTATTTGTGAGGAAGGGGGAAAGGGGAATAGTAAGTCTTTAATACGCTTAGTGTTCCTGGCTTTTCATGTCTTAAACTGCTTTTTCAGAGCATCAAGCCCTTCTCAAGTTGTATAAAAATGAGAATGTTCTATTACAAATGTGTGAGTAGCCCTAGTCTAAAATATATCTTTAAAGATATTTTTTCTTCTCTAATTTGTCTCATAATGGAATTAGTACTTTCCACATTACTTTGGAACCAAAACCAGAACATTCCTATAAGTAAAACTATTGACTAATTATTAAAAATGGATCTGGAAGACTTTTTAACTTTGAGTTTAGGCTTACCTGGTGACTGCATTTCATAGGTTTTTTTGTTTCTTAAGAGGTATCATTACACGGCAAAGTGATGGGCTTTATTGTAACATTAATTTGTGGAGTACCCTATTTGGATTCTCCATTGCCTCAGTTCCCTCAAGAAAAAAAGAGAAATTTGAGCTAAGCTCTGTAATTTAAGAAGTGATGTATCTTCTGTTGCTGTATAACAAATTACCACAAACTTATGGCTTAAACCAACATATATTTATTATTTGATAGTTGCCACAGGTTGGGAGCCCAGGTGCAGTTTAGCTAGATCCAGTGCTCAAGGCCTCACAAGGCGTCAGTCAAGTTTCAGCCATAGCCACAGCCTTTGAAGGTCAGGGTCCTCTTCCATGCTTGTATGGCAGAACCTGTTTCTGGCAGCTATAGAATTCAAGGCAGCTTGCTGCTTCAAGGCTTGCAGGAAAATCTGATTTCAGAAAAGGCCCTAAACCTTTTTTGAGGGCTCACCCGATTAAGTCAGGCTCACCCAGGATAATCTCTCTTGACCTCAAAGCCAGACGATTGGTACCTTAATTACACCTGCAAAATCCCTTCCCCCTTGTCCTATACCGTAACCTATAATATCTATCATATTCACAGATCTTGCCCACACTTGGGGAAAGGGGATTATAAAGGGCATGTGCATCAGGGGATCTTGGGAGCCATCTTAGAGTTTTGTCTACCACAAAGGAGTATCAGTCTTTAGATCCCAGAGCAATTTAGAAGTGATCCTCTAGTATATTGCAAGTTTGTTTTTGGACAACCTATAAGAATTTAGTGCAAGCTCTGGACCAGCTTCCTCCCAAAATGCATAAGCATAACAGCTTTAGGGACTCAGGAGTCTGTGAATTTCTGAGTAGAAATGGTCTGTCATAATCCTCCCCTTTAAATGATTGCCAAGAGGTGACTTGTCCAGGGTCCCACAGAGTTTTGAAATTACTTGATTGCTTTTTGAATTTTCAAAATTAAATCATTTGTTGTAGAAATTAAGGTGGTGAGCTACAAATAGGCCAATTTAGCTTCAATCAAAAGCAGTTACCAGTTAACTGCTGAGGTTTGGTGAATTATTTACTTCCTAAGTGTAAAAGTTTAGTTGTTGACTATTTTGAAGGTCATGATATCTGGTAAATTTTTGTACCTTTTTACTTCTTGATTATTTTATTCCTTGGCAAAATTCATTAAATGTCAGCTAGTAATTTAATATGACTTGGAAAGAAAAATTTGCCCAGATATCCATTCCCATACTCCGAAATAGCAAATCCATGCCTAACTTGATGTTTTGAACATTTGAAGGAGAAAATTATTTTCTTTTTAATAAATAAGCACAGTGGGTTTCCTGGCTGGCATAGTTGGTGGACCATATCACTCTTGATCTTGGGGTCATGAGTTCAAGCCCCACCTCAGGAGTGGAGATTACTTATAAATAAATGAGGGATGTCTGGGTGGCACAGTCAGTTGGGTCATGATTCCTGGGTCCTGGAATTGAGTCCTGACTCGGGCCTCTCACTCAGCGGGAGCCTGTTGCTCCAAATCTGCCTGCTGCTCCCTCTTGTGCTCTCTCTTTCTCTCTGACAAGTAGATAAAATCCTTTAAAAATAAATAACCCATACTTTAAAAGTTCATCTACAAACCTTTAAGAAAATAAGCACATTAAAGTATGTTTTTAAAAACAAAAGTAGGGTAATAAAAGTTACACTAGATCCCTTTAAGCAAAATCAGGGTGGACATTGACAGCCTTATAATCCAAATTCCTAAATTAAAGGGAGACTTTAAAAATGAAGATTTGTCGAGTCTGTGTTAACAGTGTGACCAGAAGCAAATGGGCTGAGTACAGTGTAGAATTGCATGTTAGTTAGCACAGCAGCAACGTACAAGGAAGATAGATTTAGTATTTTTCCGTAAGACTTAACCTAGCAGTTCCATTAGTTTTTAATACTCCCTTTAAATGCAGGCCCTTTAGGTGGCAAATTTGGTTCAGAATATCCATCTTAAATTGTACTGTTTATAAATATGACAGCTGGTAACTTGTGAATAAGGGCAGCTGAAAGATTGTTTCCGATCTACCTCTTACCAGAAGACTACTTTATCATTGCTTATATTTTTGTGTCAGTTTCTGCCTTTACAGATATTGTATCTTGCAGCTCTAAATACGCTGCTTACGCCA